AATGAGGAAACAGGCTGAAGTAGTTAAGGGTCTTGCCCAGGGTCACAGAGCTATTAAATATGTAAGGCATGATTTGAATTCAGGTCTTTTTGTCTCCCAGTCCAGTGTTCTAGCTACTGTACCACCCAGCTGCCCTGTTGCTTTAACTTTCTGAACTTAGAGTCCTCATCTACAAAATAAGCATAATGGTATGTACACTATCTACCACAACACTATTTTGAAGAAATTGCTTTATAAAGCTTAAAGTATTTTAGATATGGGAAAGATATGGGATAACCAACCAAATCCATGGGATGATGCTTAAACATATAATGGACCTTTACTACATCTACATAGAAGGAAGTCTCCCACTCTTCTATAGATTCCAATTAAGAAAACCCAAGAGGGAATCAAACATAAGAGAAAGACTGCTGGATTTTGTTTGATTTTCACTAGGCCGATGATAATAACTTTAAAGCCCTGGGAACTTAACTGTAAATAAAATTGCATTTTTTCTGGTCTCAATTTTTCTGTGGTTACTTTACTAAGAAAATTAATAAATTGTAAGGAAAAAATTTAATATAATCTGTATCAGACACTTTAATAGTAATAATTAGATACTCTTTGTCTAGGATTAATTTCCTATTATTAGTCTATAAGCTTATAAATTTAGTTGGTTTATATATGAATAAAATAATAAATAAGACAAATTTCATAAACTGTTAAAGACATAAGTCCAAACTCCAAATAATATTATGAACTGAACACATTTCACTTTATCCAGAGACTCAATAATTGTTAGTACCTCTTGTATATGAATGATATTCACCTGTATCTGGTTAATGAGCAAACCTTTTCTTTCATAAAGCTTACCATTACCAAGAGTATTTGGCTTAGTTTTACATCAACTTGTGTGGAGATTTGTCAAGGTTTGAAATTAAATTGCTGATACCACATATTTCCTTTTCTTTCATTCTTTCATTCATTCATTAATTTAATTTATTATTTTTGTTCAGACCTATGATTTTATCAGTAAGGAACTCCTGATGTGGCAACTCTTTCCATTGTATAGAACTGTGACTTCTCTGTAATTTAAAGTCTTAGAGAGTTGCCTCAGACAACTAGCATCTCTCTCTTCCATTTTCACCCACACGATGCTGGAGTGACAGAAAGCCATGCCACTATCCTAACTGGGTCCAACATAAATTTATGTTCATCTAAGCTCAACTGAGATGGGTGTTCACTGCAGCAAAGTAATTCTTTTATGTCTAACTGCTTCTCCATCACATTCCCTACAGCAGTTGTCAGAATGTCTTCTCAGGTCTCCCACACCATCCCTTTCCCAGGCTCTTGGCTTATTAATGAAAAAATAAAGTCCATTTTCCTTGAGCTCCTTCTCTCTCATGCTCTTTATCTCAAAACTGGTTAGCAGTACTCCACATTTCCTCTTCCTTTACTTCCATCTCAAATGAAGAGGTGGTCCTTCCCACCAAAGACAATTCTTCTACAGGTACCCTTGATTCCATCTCTGGCATATCACCCCCACAATTATCCCTCTATTTCCCTAATCCTCACTCTCTCCTTATCTACTAGTTCCTTCTTTGCTGCTTCAAACATGCCTTTATCTCATTCATCCTTAAAAAACCCTCCAAGGAGAAAGCTGTCTACATTTGTTGCCTCCATTTTCTTTCCTGTCACTCACTCCTCAAATCTTCATAATCTAGCATCTGACATTATCACTAAGCTAAAACTGCTCCCTTCATTCATAGGCGTAACTATCATCTTTATGCAGATGCCTCAGTGAAAAGAATACTGGATATGGAGTCAGAAGATGCAAATTCAAATCCCATCCCTGTCATATATTACCTATATGTGAACTTAGGTAACTCACTTGATCTCTCCCAGTCTCAGTCCCTAATCAGTAAAATAAGGGGTTTGGACAGGATTGCCTGAGGTTCCTTTCAGCTCTAGATCTGTGATCTTATATATCTAGTCCTTGTCATTCCCTGAGCACCAGTCCCACATCACCAACTGCCTATTTGGCATTTAGAACTGGATGTCCTGGAGACAGATACAAAATCTTTGTATCATTCTCAACTCCTTACTTTTTCTCACTCCACATACCCAGTCAGGTGCAAAGTATTATTAATTCTACCTCTACAATATTTCTTACAAGCATATCCTTCTCGCACAGTCCAGGTTTTTGTCACCTCTCAGTTAGACTACAGCAATATCCTACTAATTGGTCTCCCTCCTCTTCCAATAATCTTCTTTATAGTTCAACTTGTGAGAGCTTAAGGTCACCAGATTTGCCAATTACAAGATCACTTGTAATTGGCATGGCATTTTCAGTAGAATGAGAAGGTCAGAATCCAAACCACAACAAGCTGAGAAATGCGTGAAAGAGGAAGTGAAGGCAGCAAGTGGAGACTGTTATTTATGAATGTTCAGGGTCCTTAGAAAAACTATTAATATTTAATGAGCTCTTCATTTTCACTCAAATGAGCTGGGATGTGGTTGTTTTCTGATTCACATTTGACAATGTTCAGAGTCCCAACTGCTGAAGGAAAAATACACTTGAACTGGACTGAAAATTCTAGTTGCCATTGCTTTCTTTAACTCCTGCTGTAAAAATCTACACGCCAGTCTGCCAGAAACTATTTGAATCACAGAGGTAGGGTGTCAACCAATAGGATGTGTGAAGAAGGAAGAAAAGAGAACAGAACAAAGCACGTTCCTGAGTTATCATGAATCATGCTTGGATGGAAGGAAATGGTTCTGCTAGAAAGGATACATTCTCCATCTTTTACTGGCACCATCTGTGGACTAAAGGCATCAACACTACAGGGACTTTTCATAATATGACATAAACAACTGAAAATTTAGGTTGACATAATGTGCTTTGAATTAGATTATAAGGAAACTAGTATTATATCCTGCTTACGATGCATGGTATAGTGCTTTGTGGATGGCAGGAATCTTGAAAATGTTTAATGAACGATATAGCAAATCTTCTCATTGTCATTTTATTCTTAAGTTTTAAAATATATGTACTTGAAACTGCCAAACTAATGGATCTGAACAGTCAGATAATGTGAAGATAACAAGGGTTGTTTGGACATAGAGGGGCCTAGGTAACTGAGGGATAAAGAATCAGAGACTTCAAGGCTTTTCAGAGATCATTTAGTCATTCTCTTTCATTCATAAAGAAAGTGACACCCAGGGGCAGCTAGGTGGCACAGTGGATAGAGCACTGGTCTTGGAGTCAGGAGGGCCTGAGTTCAAATCCGGCCTCAGACACTTGAACCTACTAGCTGTGTGACCCTGGGCAAGTCACTTAAACCCACTGCCTAGCCCCACCACCAGAAAGAAAGAAAGAACGAAAGAAAGAAAGAAAGAAAGAAAGAGACACCCAGAGGAGTGAAGTGATTTACCCATAGTTATATTTCTAGCTAGCTGGTGGAAAGTACGGACTAAAAACCAGGTCTCCTGATTTCTACTGCCATGTTGCCTCCCTATCAGGGGATTTTATTACCAATATGAAATGCACATGAAAATGCTATGTACAACACATAAGCTAATTTTCCCACAATCACAATTCTGGCACTTTTAAAACAGGACTAATTATAGATCTTTTCAAATGTGATATGAAACACTTCATTCCCATGGTATGTATAAAATGGCATATTTTAAGATCTAAAATATGCTTTCTTTTCAATTTGTTTCGCAGCTTCACCCTGGTCCAATGCAACATTTCTACTATTGTTGGAGCAGTTCCAGTGAGTTCATTAAGGCTCTGAGCACACGACTATAAATGCAGGCCCATAAGCTTCTTAAAGACAGGAACTATGATTTCTAATATTTTGTATTGTCTGTAACACGTATCATAGTACCCTGCATGTAAAAGGCATTCAAAAAAATATTTGCTGATGCTGAGTGAAGCTGAAGATAAGGGTGTGTGAGTGAAAGGTGGCTGGACAGAGGAAGTAACAGAGGTTTGTCATGGACCATTAAACATATTGAGAGACATTATTTTTAAAATTTGGGTTGAAAAAAAAATTTGGTTGGAATTTTAAATGAACTCTGTTTCTGTTTAGAGAGATTGTAATATATCGTGTTAATTAAAAAATAGGATAAAACTAAGAACATTCACTTTGTTTCCCTCTTTATACCTTAAAAGCTTTCATTTTGTGGGTTGGAATTTCTATATGCAGGAAAGCCCACAGTAACACACAGACTAACAAGTTAAAAAAAATTACCAATGAGTATTTTCCTGGGTCAAATCTGGAGTTAAAAGAGCTCAAAATTTGCCTACATGATGGACCGTGGGGCGTGTACCATGTTAAATTGTGGAGTTACTTTTCTGCTTTTTGAAAAAGGAAATGGAGTTTTACTGAAAAGGCCATGATGGGAATGGAGACTACAGACAAAAATATAAAACGTCTCCAGCTAGCAGAGAGAGCTGCAGTCCACTGCTATTATCTTAACTGAAACGTCCAGGGACTCTTTGCTGGATGTTTTGTTTTTCATTTTAACCTCAATTCTGTATCCTCTTTCTCTTGCTGCAATGTAGATCTATGTAGTAGTAAAGAACTCCAAAACAGAAAAGGAAAAACAAAACACTTTTAAGTCTTGTGTGCCTGGCAGATTAACTTATTTAGAACCAACTAGTGGCACAACACTGATAGAGCACTAGACATGGAATCAGGAAAACCTGAGTTTAAATCCAGCCTCAGATACTTATTAGCTGTGTGATCCTGGGCAAGTCACTTAACCTCTCTCTGCCTCAGTTTCCTCAACTGTAAAATGAAGATAATATTAGCAACCCAATTTGCAGGTTGTTGTGAGGATCAGGTGATAGATATTGTTTAGCACAGTGCCTGGCACATAGTAGGAGCTACATATTTATTCTTTTGCCCTTAAAATTAATTAACGTAGTCCACTCTTTCTCCCTCCCTTTCCTTCTTCTGCCTTTACCTCCAAAAGATAATCTTTTAAAATTAAGAAACGATTATACTTACTAGAAAGGACGGTTGTAAGGAAGATGTAGTCAGAAAAGGAGATGAGTCCACACTCTCCAAGTGTGTAAAATATGCTGCCTTCATCAGCAAATTTCTCTCGCTCCTGAGATATCTTCTAGAAATGTTGCAGCCCCCCCCAAAAGAAAGAAGATAACAAATTAGTCAATGAACAATAAGAAAGAAGCCATTATCTACACAGTGGCTTCAAGCTACTTCTCATAAGCACATTCTTGAAGGCCATTCTAAATCAATGGATCCTTTACAGCTTTCAAGAATATAGAAATTACAAGGCACTTTTGAGTATCAAATTAGATATAATGTGGAAATGGCAAACTGAAGGGTCCCAACATATTAGTAGTTCCGACAAACACACTGGCTCAAGCAAGGATTTATTATGTGTGCTTTGTTTCTAAACGGAATTTACCCTCTTCTTATAGAGTTTATGAAGGTAATAAAACAAAAAGACGTTAAGAAGATCTTTTTGAATCTCCCATCTCAAGTACCTTGCTGCTCTGTTATTCACAGAAGCCCAGAAAATTAATTCCTGATATACTTAGTTATAAAGGTTTTTAATCTAATGTTCCAATGGACATTCATTTTTGTAACACAGCAAAATATATTATCCAAAGGAGAATTTGAAATAAAGTGTTTGCTAAGTTTAGGGCTTTCTTTTTATTAATATTTAGCTTTACCATGATTAGTACCTTTGGTTGATGTCATTCTGTGAAGGACTATCTAAAATTTTAGCTTTTACCCAAGACAAATATACTTTTTGGCTGAGCAAAGAGTTAAGGGTATGTGTCACTACTGGCCCTTTGGGCTTTCCTGATTACCACATTCCTCTGGATCACTGAACTAGATTTCTCTGTATTCTCACTTCTGAGACAAGTCAGAGGCTACTTGATGACTTTATACCTCTACATCCTCAAATGCTGAAAAGGATCCATCAGGGTTAGACTGGGTACTGAGTTTCATCTGTGCTGGAAAAAAAATGTAGCTATGCAAGAACTTATCACAAATAGGGATATCAAAATAACATAGAATGTTAAAGAAACTAAGTGCAATTAAAGTCACATTAAGTCATGCAAGCACATATAAGCAGAGCACAATACAAGCATGAACTTGGGAAGAGTATCAGGAAACCAAACCAACAAACACCATCAGGCCAAACAGTCAGCTATACAACTGACCCATGGGTTACCTCGGTCTAGTGGGGATCCCATCATATATATAAGATAAAGGAAAGAAAAATGGTTAACCAACCAAATGAAAGTCACTGCATAAAGTGTCAGTGTGTCAATGTGAATGGTTACCCTTCTAGAAGAGAAGAATGATGTGGGGAAACCTCCAAAGAGCAGGTACACAAGGTCAATGACAGCAGAGAAGCACTTTGGCTTCAGTGGCTGGCATCCTCTGGGGATAGGTTCTCTCTCATTTTATTTGTATCTATGTCTAAAGATCAGTTCTTTGAACTAACAAAAGTAAGGATGAAAAACAGCCTAACAATATCCACTTTAAATAACCTAAGATTCCATTCCATACTGGCTCTTCTACCAAAATATCAAATAAAAATTTGGGGAAAATGGGAGAATTGAAAGAAGCCTGAAGTGGAAAGGCTTTTTAGTAGGAAATTTAGGCTTATATCCATCAAAATATGCATGAATAAAATTCTCAAATTATCGAGTATACTACAAGAGGACATTTATTTAAGGATAGACAAGTAGGAGGGAAACAAAGTATGTTAATATTACATTTGTGTGCCCTGAAGAAACTGTGTACACACTGCTAAATAATATACAAGAATTATCTAGTTTATGCAATGATACATATACATACATACATACATAAATATATTTTGCTGTTGTTTTGTCATGTCCGACCCTTCATGGACCGATTTGGGGTTTACTTGGCAAAGATACTGGAGTGGTTTGTCATTTCCTTCTCTAGCTCACTTTACAGAAGAAAAAACTGAGGCAAACAGGGTTAAGTGACTTGCCCAGGGTCACATAGCTAGTAAGTGTCTGAGGCCAGACTTGATTTGAATTCAGAAAGATTCATCTTCCTGACTCCAGGCCTGCACTCTACCCGCTGTGCCACCTAGCTGCCCATAACATAAATATATACAATGTATTCTACAAACAAGAGCACAGCTTCTAAAAGAATATTACTAGCTCTATTCCATCCCTCTCCCCTTTAAAAAAAATAGAGACACAGAGATTAAAGGATTTATCCAAGGTCAAAGTGAAAGGGAAAATGGGATGGAATTAAGGTAGAGAAACCACACCTTTTGTTTCCTAGAAAACAATCACCCGGTTCATCCAACTCTCAGATGATAAATATAAATCTTATTTTGATAAGCACCATGACAGTAAAAATCTCTGTACAGCAAAATGGTATCTAAGTCTCTCTCCTTTGGAACAACTTTAACAAGAGAATTTAGTCTCTTAAGTTTTTTGTGTGTGTGTGTGTGTTTCAACAGAACTGATTTGACATAATGAAAAGAAAAATTAATAATTGCAAGCAAAGTGTCAGACAACGATAGCATGCTGATTTCCACTGTATGTAAGAGCTATATTGTACTAGCTCTTGATCTCTACCCACCTTGTCCTATTGTCAGTTATTTTCAAAGAAAAAAAAGACGTAACATAATCAAATGTTTTAAATCTGTTACCTACTTTATCTTTTAAAATACATTTAATGGAAAATGAATTCAATCTCAAAATAATTTTACTGTTTCAACTTCTGGGTAACAGATGATAGCATATCCAGCTTTTTTTCAATGGTTATTCCCACTCAATGAAAACCAAAAAGTTTCATTTCTGATTATAATTGCTAATTTACAGACAACATCTTTACATTCTGTTTATGAGAGACAATGTGAAATGAAAAGTTGTAGGCACCGTAATTCTATCCTGTCCTACAATTTTTCTATTCCATGATGTGTATTTTAATGATACATTCTCACATAAGTTGTTAAACTACTTCTTTTTGGGGCAGGAAGAATTTTATGGGAGTAAGTTACTTTATGTTTTAACTTGGAAATTAATTGTAATAAATATTATTTAAATTGTGCCTGTTTTTGCATCACTTTGATAGTAAACAAAATACATTGGCTGGCATATAAAATACAAAGCATTTTATAATGCATCTATCACCCCTAAAAGTTTGTACATATCCATGATAAATGCCTGAAAGGATAAAAATAATTCTTGGAATTCATCTAGGTATTAATGGCATAGACATGAAATTTGTTGTAAAAATCATTCTCTTAGATTACTCAAAGCTAAAGTAGTATTCCTAGTCTAACAGATCTACTAGAATGGGGAAGAGAAGAAAGAAAACAAAGAGGAAAAATCCTATCCTTGCTTATTGGAAAAAGACAATTTTCAGATTATTTTGTACCATATGGCTGCTTCTTGGCTAGACTGTTGAAATTAGTAAGATGAATCTGTCATAGATTACTTCCTCAAATCAACACAGAGTAATCACAACCTTTGAGTTTGATCATGGATAAAATGGACTTTAAGAAACTAAGAACGATGAAATTGGGCATCTGGGAAGTTGAGAAAGGTATATTTGGATATTTTTTTCAACTTCAAAGCTTCTTAGTGGTTCAAAGCAAAAAATATGAATGTGCGTGTGTGTAATAGATCCAAAATAACACATATTACCTCAGAGAGTATAATAAAATTTTATAATTTATAATTTCTTAAAATTCTATGAAGTCTGTGGAGCATAAGAGGTATAAAATCAACAGCAAATTCTTTATTAAAAATCCATTTTTCTTTATCTGTAAAGCTTTCTTGGCTTCTAAGCAAGGTGTTACTAACACTTAATCTTCTCTATATCTTCTAGTAGTTCTGACATATACTTCTCAGTTTTCAAGGTGAGAGAAGTACACACTAAGAATGGCAAAAAAAGAAATTACAGAATGAGTAGCAAAGGATTGAGTTCATGAGAAAATATTTTTTCTCTGAGTGTCCTGAGGGAAAAATAGCTAAATAGTAGATACTGTCCCTTCTTCTGTTCTATGAGAGATTCAATTTGATGTATACCTCTGGAGAGAGTTCCAGACAAGCTTTAACAAAAGCTTCAAAACTCAGTGGACTAAAAATGATGTGCATTTTCCCTTACTGCTCAGAGGTAACCATTTTTATGAAAGATTATTTAAGTTTACAGCAGATTTATGAAATAATTTATTAACCCATTCTAAGGGACTTGATTTTTAGTTCAAGAGCCTGCTAACACATAACAAGAAGGCAGCCAGGTGGCTCAGAGGATAGAGAACCGGGCCTGAAGTCAGGAAGATCTGAGTTCAAATCCTGCCTCAGACATTTATTAGTTGTGTGACCCTGGGCAAATCACTTAGCCCTGTTTGCTTCATTTTCTTCATCTGTAAAATGAGATAGAGAAGGAAATGGCAAACCATTTCAGTACCACTGCCAAGAAAACCCCATACAGGGTCACAAAGGGTAGGACATGATTGAACAAGCACAACAATAATAATATTTAATACAGAAGAAGCAAAAAAAAAATTAAATGTACAAGAGAGAAAGTATACTTAAAACTTTATTAATAACACTGACCTACATAGTCTAAGAAAGCATAGGGTGATATTCTAAATAAAACAATGTCATGAAGGGGACTGAATTTCCTAGGACAGCACTTGTATACTATCATGGTATCCAGTATATATTTTTGAGATTGATTCAATCAAAACTACATATATTTAACTAAAGGTTTCAAGTACTAACCAACTCTTAAAAGGGAACATGTAAATTAAGAAAGTGTTAAGGGTATAACATTCAAATACAGTCACATTTTATCCAGACCTCATTCCACTTAGTTGAACCTCAGAATTTAGGCTTTCTGTGTATCACATTTAGAACAATGTCATTTATCAATTGCAATTCTACTGAGCTTACTGAAAAACATTTTTCTTTAAAAATGCAAAGTATGATGCAATTTGGGATGATTAAAAAAAAAAACTTGGTCAATGGCCTAAAAGATGTGAAAATACAAGTTCAAGAAAACAAGAGTTCAAGAGCATGCTTGCACTGTTTAGTAACTATTTGTGCATAATTCCAAAGTGCTTTCCAGTTTGGCTGGACTCAT